AGAGAGAGAGAGAGAGAGAGAGAGAGAGAGAGAGAGAGAGAGAGAGAGAGAGAGAGAGAGAGAGAGAGAGTACATACACAGACGGAGATGGGTAAGGACTACAGCACGTGCTTACCTCAATGGCTGCGGGGAAAGGGAAGGGGGGGCTGGACGAAGTAACGCACGGGCGGGAAAGCACACTGTATATTTTGACTTGATGTCCGACCCTCCCGGGCAGGCAGGGGTTGGTCCATGGGCGGGTCCAATTTTCTGGACCACGGCTTAGACCGACGGATCGTGGCGTTTAAAAGGGGAGCTTTCCTGCAATTAGGAAGGGGGGGGGGGGATTTTTCCACTGGCATGTGATTGGATTGCAATCACATGGCGGCCAAGAAAGAAGCCTCCCTCAGAGAGGAAGGCCCTCAGAGCAGGGAATTGGAATTGGAATTGGAATTGGAATGGGAATTGGAATTGGAATTGGAGTTGGAGTTGGAATTGGGTGGTTGCCCCCCTCTAAGGAGTTCCCAATGGGCGAAATGGAAATTGCAGCCATGAAATCAGGAAATTGGAATTGGATTTGCAAGTACAAACTGGAATTGGAAATGGAATGGGTTGCTTTGTGCCTGCTTCTGAATAAGGAATTCCCGATCACCGAAATGGAAATTGTCGCCCCTCGAATCAGGAAATAGGAAATGGAAATGGAATTGGAATTGGAATTGGAATTGGAATTGCGAATAGCATCGGAATTGGAAAGGTTGGTCCGTTGGTTGGTTGGTTGGTTGGTTGGTTGGTGGTCCCCCGCTGTTCGGAATTCCTAATCGCGGAAATGTGAATTGTTGCCCTCAGATCAGGAAATTGGAATTGGTATTGGAATTGCAGTGTAAAATGGAATTGAAATCGCTAGTAGAATTGCAAAATGCGATTGGCATTGGAATTGGAATTGGAATTGGAATAATGGAATTCGTTAGTTGGTTCCCCACTGTTCGAAATTCCCAATCGGCGAAATGGGAATGATCACCGGCAGATCAGGAAATTGTGATTGGAAGTGTAACTGGAATTCCAATTGGAATTGCAATTGGAATTGGAATTGGAAGTCCAATTGGAATTGGAATTGAAATTGGAACCGGAATTGGAATTTGGGTGGTTGGTCCCTCCGCTGAAAGGAAGTCCGAATCGTCGAAATGGAAATTCAATTTGTCCTTTTCTGAGAATTTTAAAGTGTGTGGATTGTAAGACGAATTCCTTTCCATGAAAAGAAGGGGCAATGGGAATTTGAATCACATTTGAAATTTGAAACGTGTGATCGAAATTTGAAACGTGTGATCGAAATTTGAAACGTGTGATCGAAATTGAAACTTGTGATCAAAATTTGAAACTTGTGATCAAAATTTGAAACTTCTGATCAGAATTTGAATTCCGTTCAAGATTTCAAATTTTTAATTCTGTCTGGAATTTGAAATGTGAGAAAGAAATTTGAATTGCATTCCAAGGAACGTGTGACCGATTGTTTTTTCTTTCATTCATTCGGAAGAACATTTGGTCGATTTTTTTCCACCATCCTAAATAACCTGTGAGTAGGTGTGATGGATTTTTTGTTGTTGTCAAATCCCTTTCCAAATACCGTTACATATTGCGTCTTTTTTCTTTGTAGATTTCGATGAGAAATGGAGAATCGATGTGTTCACATGGTGGTCATGATCCGTTCTCTGTCTCTCTCTCTCTCTCTCTCTCTCTCTCTCTCTCTCTCTCTCTCTCTCTCTCTCTCTCTCACACACACACACACACACACACACACACA